AGGACCGGAAAGGGATTTTGTTACTTTTTTTTAATAATTTTCACTAATTTATTTTTTTTTTCGTTTTTGTAGAGTTGCCAGACGAAAAGTATGACCAGAATTCTGGATTGAGGTAAGGGAGGACCGGAAAATTTTCGTTATTTTTTTTTGATAAATTTAATTAATTTATTTTTTTTTCTTTTCATAGGGTTTTAATAATTAAAGACACGACCAGAATTTTGAAATTGAGGTAAGGGAGAACCGAAGGAAAAGATGTTTATTGCTAATTTTCTTTAAAAAGAAACGTCACTAACATTTCTTTTCTTTTTATAGAGTTGCTGAATGAAAATATATATAGTATGGAGACTTATTTTAAAAATGGACAAAATTGTCCAGAATTTTTTCTAAGAAACGGCACAGTTATGCAATTTAGAAAAATATCGGTCTATGTTTAAGACGAATGATAAACAAATAAATAAATAAATTTATTATATTGATTTAAAAAACATTTTTATTTATTTATCGTTATAAATGTTTAAAAAATAATTTATTATTTAAAAACATTAGCCAATCAGAATTGTGGAATTGCGGATTACTAACCGCAATTTGACTTCAAAATCCGCAATATTGCGAATTTGAAAAATAATTTGAGGGCCCATCCTTATATGCAGGTGAGAATGGGTTTTTTGTTAACGAAATAGGTTTTTTTGTGTCTATTTTACATTAAATAATTTAAGTTTCGCAAATATAAATTTTCACTTGACTTATTATTTAGTCAAGTGATATTCAATCAAGTGATTTCATGACATTACAAACCGGTTTTGGGTGACAGATATTATGAAAATCATTCAAAATTTAGCATTATGCAAAAGTAAACAAATCCGCCAATATGCCTTTGAGAAAAAACCCCTATTATTCCCAACTCCTTATAAAATAAACTCTTATAGAATTTCAGATACCTAATATACAACTAGTATTCTTGAATTGATTCAGATTTATAATATTACTAACCTATTTGACTTACTTAATCCATTTATTAAAATGTTAAAACTCAACATTTTTAAATAATAAAAAAATAAATGTTTTTAATTAGGGCTGTGATATATAATAGATAATATTTGGAAGTATCCAACCTTAAATTACATATACTAGGAAAATGGTAAACTGTTATGTAAGTCCAGAGCTTATCATATGATCTGTGACGCTGAAGAGAATAATTAGCTAAAAAATGTAACAGTCAAAGGGCTAAACTAGAGCTCTGAAAATGACTTGCATAAACTCGCATTTTTGACTCATATAATTGTAAATTTTTGTTTAATTATATTCTAACTTAATAAAAAGTACTTTAAAATTAAAGTTTTTGATTCGTGACTCGACTCAACTCGACTCAACTCAACTCATTAGGAGTTCTAGGCTGAATTAATGTATTGAGAAAAAGGTTAAATTAAAATTTAATTTATCCAAATACAGCATAGAGTATAAAATAATTAATAAATTTTATTAGATAATCATATCAGCTGAAAAACTAAGAGTTTTGGCAAGTTGGCGAAATGCAACTTTGCCAAAACTATATAAAAGTTTTATTAAAAAGTTGGTAAAACTCTGGAGAAAAGCGAAACCTGACAAAACTTATTATAAATGCTGAAACTACCAAAACCTTGCCAAAATTATAATAAAACTAATAGTAAAATTTTGGAGAAACTAATCGTAGAATTTTGGTGAAATTTAGGCAGGCAACTTCAGTGTCAGCTAATAATAAAATAAATTAAACAATTAGATTATTGCATCAGCTAGTAATAAATTGGATCAATTAATGTATGAAACAATCATATTTTAATAAATATAGAACAATTAGAACAGAACAATTTAATCAATTTGAATGTTAAAGCCACAAAATCATGAAGCAAAGTCCCATATAACAATAAAATCACATTCAATCCAATAATTTTTATTTTTTCACTATAAAATAAAAGATAAAATATAAATAAGATGAATAAATTTATTAATACAGGTATTTCGATAAGGACAAAAAAAAATTAAACGTCAACTGACCTATCTGAAAAAAAGATATAAAATAAAATTATAAAAATGAATGGTTCCACTAATACAAAAATAAAATAAAAAACCAAGAAACTAATGAATAATGAACAAAATGACTTGTACGAGAATGAGAATTAAAATGGCAAAAAAGAAAGAGAAGCAGAATAACAACATGAGAAGTGTCTTCAAAGTGTTCGCGAAAGAAGAAAAAAAAAGATGACAGAAATTAACAGTGATCAAAAAAATCAGAAAAATTAGGAAAACTAATATAGATAAGCTACGCGTAAATAAACCTGTAAATTAAAAAACTGAAATATATTAAAAGAACAAAACATCAACCAACAAACATGATAAGATCATGAAAAACAAGAAATAGAAAAAACTTACGTGAAAAATGATAACATAGATTTAGACTCACAGTCTACATCACATTCAGCCATCACTATAAGTGAAAAAGAAATCAGTATGTTGCAGGATTTCTGCATAAAAATGGATAATATATGTTATAATATTCACCAAATATGTCAAAAGTGAATACCTTTATTACTGCTTGTTAAAGGAATATGTAAACGCTGTTATTATAAAAAGAATACAGACAGCACCTAAAAAAGTTTTTTAAGGGTAATAATATGCATCTAGATGATGTTTCTGATAAACTTAAAGGACTTAGTGAAATAGAAAAAATGCTTATTTTCCAGATTTTCATTATAATGATAGTATACTGACTGCATAGTGGAAAAAACGACTATAGAGGACATGTAATAAATTTTCCTCAAAATATTCAGAGTTTTACAAAATGACTTTTACAGGATCCGTTATCTTTAGATGTTCTTGTTGTATAACAGAAATTATCAAACGATCTAACAGAACCCCAGAAAATACTTATATATGTATAAAGGTACCAAGGTAGGACTCCGCTTACTTATAATAAAGGTTACCGTAGAAAATTAGTCTTTACTAATAGTTTTTACCTTACTTTTTTCTTAAATTCTATTGGTTAATTAGCCAAAAAGGAAAAAAATCATAACAATGTAACATAAAATTTCCCTTTATAGTAGGATCTGTAAAGAATTTTATATATGATTTTTACCTTAGGCCTGAGAGTGACTTATCTTATATATAAACAAGATCCTACCAAGGTGCTTAGCTAATATAGAAAAATTTTATGATATAAGAATTTTATAATGCTTAATTTTAAGAAAATTTATACTATGTAAGATAATTAAGTTGCATATTTTTGGTATTATTTTAAAATACTAAGAGTTTTTAGTTGCTTATTTTTCGTATTTATAGAACTCTTTAAAATATTATATATTGAATTTATAATTAATTTTTATAATGCATTCATGTGTCTGGTCTCAAGAAGGGTACATTTATAGAGAGTTGACTGTATATAAGTAGTTTCGACCTTGCTGAATAACTTTCAATTAATTTAAAAAGTCGATTTCATTTGACTGGAGTGGTGTAATTATGCTCTGAAGTTATAAACGAAAAAGTGAAAAATTTAAAAGTTATTACCATTATATAAAAAAGGTGATTTCTATTTGTATACAAGGTGTTTGAACCCGGATCACGTGACATCAATTTTTATAATATTTAAGAAGGAACATGTGACTTTAACTGTGGTATTTTTTATTGTAAAATCGTGTAACATAAATCACGTACAAGAGCAGCATATACATACATGCTATGAATGCTAAACAAATATGTTATATATGCTATATAAAATGTGTTAGTTTTGACACGTCTTTGAGTAATGTCCATACTGCTTACACTTCCCGCACCTTCTCCCCTTTGTTTTATCTATAACACCATGATCTATTATGTTAACCTGTGTACTATTTTTCAATACTCGATTAGATTCCTTAGACGAAGACAATTCAACATTTGACTTAAATCTTTTTGGAGGCCGTCCTTTGTGCTTGATAATAGCTGGATTATTAACATCAGCAAAGAGTTCTACTTCCTGAACATTCTTATTCTGTGCATTATAGATAAAAGCCTTGAGTAAGTTCACTAATTCATTTTGCATATTTGTCTTAAATGCACAATCAATACCCGTCTTTGATAACCCAAATAATTTCGCGTGAATAGCTTTACTTGATTTTACAGGTAGTTGGGAACCATGTGAATCAACTCGAAACAAAAAAAAGTGCTAAAAGTTGATACTTTTTTCTGTTTCTACATTTTCTACATTTTCTTGTGTTATGCCACATACCGGAATAGAAGGATGTTATTGCAAAAGATCATTTGGATGAATATTGGTATTTAAGTACCATCAGTTTGGGATTATGCTTATATGAAATGTTGCATATTGGGAATAAATACCAACATGAAAAAAGTGATGGCATACCAACTCTTTATTGATTAAAAGAAGGCAAGTACATAAATGCATTCCTTTATTAAGCAGGATCACATAATGACCTATTCCTTTAGTCCCAGTTGCTTGTACATGCCATACTTCCATGATAGCTTCTGGTGGAATAGTTTTAATTAGTGATTGGAAGAGGATTTGTCGTGTATCTTGCTCCTGTTCTCTAATTCCAATACTCATTTCTTCATTATCAATTTCCGTCTAGAAGTGTCAAAAATATGATTTAATCACAAAATCACATATGGACGAAGTACAAAAATCAAAATTACTTGCCTCCATTAACTGTTGCCATTCTATAACCTGATTGGCATCATAGCATACTGATTGATTCATTTGTGATCGCTGTTTTCCAAGCATTACCAGCGTTAAGAAGTCTTTGATAACAGCATCCATTTGTCCAAAAAATCTCGTATTCAACATTGGCATTCCAACTTTAGGTAATGCATTTCGTTCAATTTCAAACTTTTCAAGATGTTCTTCATTTTTAACATAATCTTTAATACTATGTAATAGATCACATAATGAAGTAGCTCGATCAACTTTATCATGTATATGTTTATTAATTGATTCAATTCGTTGTGTGCTTTGGGCTCCAGTAGTGAATTGTTTGTATACCCAGGGAATTGCCTATGATTCCTTTTTAACATAGAGTGATTCAGAAAGATATTTTGCTGCTGCTGGATATTGATTTACTAACTGATTCCATCTGCATTCAAATAGTTTCTCACAAAGAGAATTACGACATACATAGAACTTATGGTGAAATTCCTTAAACTGACTACCCAATTTTCCTTTAAGCTTTTTTCTGAGATTCAGATCAATATGGAAAATGCACAGCAGGTGCTGGGTATTGGAATAAATCTCTTTAATTGAATGAATCATTGAAGGATCTGAATCAGTGAAGATAACTCTGGGATAAACTCCTATTTCAGTAAGTATTGTATCAAAGATCCATCTATAGGTGTCTAATGTCTCATCTTCAATGATAGCACTTGCCACAATTCTAGTCTTATAATTATTATCAATTACTGTTAAGATGCATAGCATCATTTGAAACCTATTCGTATTATATGTTGTATCAAGTATTACAAAATTATTGTATTTGCTATATACAGTCAGCCCCCTTTATAGTCACACCCCTTGGAACCGAAAAAAAAGGGTGTGATTATAAAAAAAGTCATATGTTGTGATTATAGAGGAGGTTTTTCTAATATATTTATTAGTACATTGGGCCAAAATATGGTATGCTTATAAAGGGGAATTTTATATGTTGTGATTATACGGGGGGTGACTATATAGGGGGTCGACTGTAGTTCCCTTTGTACCGGTGACATCCAAAAAAGAGAGCTTAATTTCCTTGAAATTGGGTCTAGTCTAGGTTTAACTATCCAGAGTGGCTCATCATCCTTCCATTCTAGTAATTGCTAAAGCATCTGGGATGCATCAGTGGCACCTAGATTGTTTTTCTGACAAAATTGATATACCGCGTTATATAAGTCTTTTTTATGAATAGGTTTGTCTGGATAATCATATCTAAGCAAAGGATATATAGATCCTGAGTCTATTCGTCCTTAATTAACATACTTCTCTATATCTTCTAACATTTTAGGTGTTAATTTACGAAAACGTGATACTATTTCACGAATAATTGGAGTAAAAGAATGATTATGATGATTGTTAAATGAATTGATCTTTACAACACCATTTTTTTTTGGACAGGTGACATTAAGTTTTCAGGAATAGAGTACTCGTAAAGAAAAAGCATTACAGCACTTAATTAGATCTGAAGTGATTTGTGGATTATGTGAGCCAGACTTGGTGCATTCTATACATGCTGCCCAAATTATTTTGGGATGCCATAATTAAAGCTCTGAACGGGTCGGTTTGGTCCGGATTATAGACGGTTTGGATTAGAGTCGAAATCTGTAATAACCGAACCGAAAAACTGGCGGTTCGGTTCAGTTTAATCCGATTTTTATAAAAATGCGAAAAATCGAATAGCCAGCAATCTAGCGATCGTATAAAGTCGAGCTATATATCATTGGATTCGTCTTGACGAGACGCATCGAATGGTGGTAAGAACATGTCTCTAGCATCGATAGATCACATGTTAACCTACGCTAAATGATTTATCAATAATTGGAATTAGCAAGCTATCTATCGGTGCTAGAGACATGATCTTAGCACCATTCGACTCGTTTTAGTGAGACAAATCCAATGAATATAAATTCGTTCGTGTACGACCACTAGATGGCGAATAATATCAAGTTTCGCATTTTTTTAAAATTTTCGAGCGTTAAAAATTAAAAATTCCGATACATGAATTTATTCCTCGTCCAATAGTCCTACAAATATGAATTAGGACTCATTGGATTCGTCTCAATGAGACGAGTCGAATGGTGGTGAGATCATGTCTCTAACATTAATAGATCGTAGGTTAATTCATGCTAAATAATTTATAAAAAATTAGCATTAGCAAGCTATCTATCGATGCTAGAGACGTGATCTTACCACCATTCGACTCGTCTCATCGAGACGAATCCAATGAGTCCTAATTTATATTTGTAGGACCATTGGACGACGAATAAATTCATGTATCGGAATTTTTAATTTTTAACGCTCGAAAATTTTAAAAAAATGCAAAACTTGATATTATTCGCCATCTAGTGGTCGTACACGAACGAATTTATATTCATTGGATTCGTCTCACTGAGACGCGCCGAATGGTGCTAAGATCATGTCTCTAGCACTGATAGATAGCTTTCTAATTCCAATTATTTATAAATCATTTAGCATGGATTAACGTGTGATCTATCGATGCTAGAGACATGATCTTACCACCATTCGACGCGTCTCATCGAGACGAATCCAATAATATATGGCTCGACTTTGTACGATCACTAGATGGCCGGCTATTCGATTTTTCGCATTTTTATAAAAAATCAGATTAAACCGAACCGAACCGCCGGTTTTTCGGTTCTAATACCCGAACTGAACCAAACTGAATTTTGAGCCAGTTTCGGATCGGTTCCCCGGTTTAGTCCGAACCATTCAGAGCTTTAGCCATAATTATAATTTGGGATGCCATAATTCATTCGGTTTATATATAATTTACTATGTAAAGTACCAAAATAATTTGGGATGCTATAATTGAATTTGGGATTTTACTTATAATTACGGCAGTCCAAAATAATTTGGGTGGCATGTATAGTGCATTCATAAGCAACCCTTCTCAAAATTCCTTGTTCTTTTTCACTTATTCTAATCTTATGATCAAATCCTTCTTTTAATGCAAATTTGTCCAACCACTTCTTGAATCTATCCCAACTTGCGAAAGTGAGCCCTGGGACCAATTCCAAAAGTTGATCATCATCTGATTCATCATCTTATAAAGTGTCATCTGACGTTGGCAAACTTGGCTCAGAAGGCTATTTAGAAACATGAATAAATCAGACGAAATATTAACAAAAAGCCATGATAAGTAAATGGATAACCAACATACATATGACATGGGACATGTTGGAGAAGCATATTGTATCAGAGTATTATCAGCATCTGGAGCAACAAATTATGTAGGTTGTGTCAGAGCGGTATCATCAATATTTGATGTGAAGTGTGCCAGAGTAGCAGCGTATCTATCTGGAGTGTATGATATGAAATGTGTTAGAATATCATCAGCATATTGTTCATCTGGGGCAATATATGACGTGAGGTGTGTTGGAGAAGTATATTGTACATATGATGTGAGGTTTGTATATTGTTCATTTGTATCTAGAACTTTATCTTGTAAAGTGTTATCAAATGTTGACAGGTATGAATCAATAGGCTATTAAGAAAAAAATACAGTCAACTCTCTCTATAGTCACTCCCGTTATAGTCACATTCTACTATATAGTCACACCAGTTGAATGTTCAAAACAATTTATTATTAAAATCTATCCTATATAGTCACAATCTATCTATAGTCACTATCACACTTATCCTCAAAAATCTTATATTAAAAAGAACCGTTTATAATCACAGTTATATAAAGAATATATTAATTGCTAGTCCGGATAAGATCTGCAGTGACACATATAGCTATTTACTATAAAAATTGGGGATAAGTAACATATAAAAAATATATTGTTTTTGAATCTCAAAGTCGTCTCTTTTTTATGGCGCCTAAAGCTCGTGAAATTGTTGTTACCTTGTTAGTAGTAGGTTCTATACTATTAGACTTGCACTATGGGCCATATTCGCGTCTTTGGTGGCAAAAAAATAGTGACAATAAAGAAAATGAAATCTCAAATTATTTTCCGATTCGTATTGGTCAAACCACAAAAGCTGTTCTAAATGAAATGGACTTTTATACCACTATTTTACTAGGAAATTCTGAAAACTCTTTTGCTCCTGGGTTTATTTGTACTTCAGGCGTCTTTTCAAGCAGTGTAGAAAGTAGTTCTTCTGCTGCAGTTTCGAATCTATACGCTAGCATATTTCAAAAACGAACGCGTTTTTCTGGTCCACTTGTAATAGGATGGAATGATAAGGATATAATTTCACAATTATCTCAAAATATTCCTTTTTTTCCTTTCTCTTTTCTTCTTGGAAAATATCTAATATTTGTTTATAGTATTGGCACTTCATTACGCGAAGATTGGAATAATGGTGGGTTAGGATACAAAGCTTCACTCAACAATAAATATCATGATAAACCGGCAATATTTGTATCTACAATTGAAGATAAAGATTGTACACTTGAAATTTATCAAGATTACAAAATTAAAAACCGGTTTGTAGCCAATTCTCCAAATGAAGTATGGGAAATTTCAAAGTTTATAAAACAATATAAAGGAATCCAACTTTTTGGCCTTGAAAATTCCTTTACAAGAAAATTTATTCAAGAGAATTCAAAACCCACATGCTCGCCAGATAATTGGCACAATTTTCCTTTATTAAAATCTGTATTTGATTACAATCTTAAACGTCGAACACTTGCAAATGTAAAATGGTATCAATTCTTTGAATCTTGGGCTAAGAGTGAAAATCCAATAATTGAATTTACGTCTAGTCTTGAGAAACTTTATCCAAGTGAGTATGAGTTTAGTGATCGAGAATTGAGAGCATGGAAAACAACATTACGTGCTGCAGGTTGTCACAATATAACGCCTTGGTCATCTCATGAATCTGAGGTATGGTAATGTGTAAAAATTTATTTTTATGTATAATTTAATTTGTAAAAATATGTGTAGAAAATAGAGTAACTAAAAATTATTAGTATGAAATATATTTCAATAGTAATTATTATAATTTAATTTAGTAAAAAGATATGGCAAAATATCATGTAAAGAAAGTATAAATAGAATTTATCAAATTTTCGTTACGAAGTAATAAAAAATCTTATATGTTATAGTAGTATCCAAAAAGAGAAAAATATTCGAAGTATTATTTATACCAATTATTATTTTTTTTTTTT